CCAAATGAGAAGAGAAATAATAATTCCATCTCCATAACCGGAGGTTGAGCACACTTCATCACACGTACGTATTGGTTCGAGTCATAGCTGCGGATGGGAGGATGACTGTGTCGTGTGTGTTGGCCATGAAAGACCGAGTGTTCTTATGAGTTGTTTTGGTGAGCATAGAGGGGATTATTTGGGCGGACTCCGATCGTTTCCACTGGGGCCATAATGTGACTTCGAAGCCCCTTAGGTCGATGACTGCTAACTAAGCAGTAGATGGCTCGAAACGTCTCGATCACATCAACCACGTTGTTTGACTCCACTAGGTATGAAACGATTGAGTTGTTGATAGTCCTAATCATAGTTTAACAATGTACAAGTTCAGTCTATGTGAAAAACAATCGTAGTAGACCAATGTTTATAACTAAGCAATCAGTCGATGATATGCACGTTGGTGGATGACTGCCATTTGGTGATTACCGAGGCACTTGGATTTTCCTGGGGGTGATTCACCGCTGAAACTTGTGGGGATAAACGAAACCTGACTCGCGAGACAGCCAGTTCTTGTGTGAAAATAGCAATCCATTTGGGGACTCTATCCAGTTAATCAGATCATACATCTTTCTGTTAGGCACAAACGTTCAGTGTGCTTGATAAACCTTAATGCCCAATCCAGCCGGTGACCGCTGCTACAACCAGAAAAATGCGGGTGTGGTTCGTACACCTCCTCTTGGTTGCTTTTGAATCAAGTATTTTGCCAAATTTTCAAGATGAACTGCCAGTGGTTCACCGACCCAATTATAGCCCCCCCCCATCCCATCCCATTTACTGACTTCTCGTCCTCTCTCTCTTTCCCTCCGTGATGAGGAAAATACCTACATACCACGCGGAGGGCTGCCCCAGTGGAAGCCATTTGAAAGATAGCCTTGTTCAAATCGAGTGTACCTGCAAAATAGTCTACATATTAGGTATGTTTTGAACGCAGTCTCTCCGTACGAACTCGTTTTCGTTTTGTGAATGTTCGCCCGTATATGATGGACCATATTGTCTCTAGACTGAATAGGTTTGTAAGTTCCGACATTTGCCCTAGTGAACTAGTTACTTCCCTAATGCTGCGCTATGGGTGATACTGAACCGGATACATTCAATGCTGCCTACCGCCTACTCTGAACATCGTGACTTATCTGTCTTTGAAGTTTGTGGGATATCACAAACACCGTGCTGGAGTTCGCTTCTTGCGATTTTGTGTCGCACTCAGATTCAACACAGAACATTTGATGCTCAGGTTTGTGGTTTACATGAGTGTGTTTACCGTGGCAGTGGCAGTTCTTTTCATCATCAACCTTGCCCTTTTGTGCACCAGTTGCTGCCTCATGACTGCCCGTTTTTTTTCGGATAAAGAAGAATTATTTATTTATTTATTTTATTTTCACACACGTCTGAAGCCAGACTGTGTGCCAGAGAAATCATGGTACAATAATCTTTATAAGAAAAAAGCATTCCATGATTTGCATGTGCGCGGAATACTGCCAGGTTGCCCAGGCCTAGGTAGGTGAATTTTCTTGAGCATTCCACAACCGGAGCCTTTGGCTAACCAAATCTTGACCCGCAAGGCGATGGAGCGGTGTGTAAAGACCACAATCCATTGGGAACTGGTGTCCAGTTCATCGGATCATACGCCCTTCGGACGGGGTCAAACGTCTAAGGTGCCTAATACACTTCAATGCCCAATCGAGCCAATGACCACTACCACGACCGAAAATCTGTGGGTGTGGTTCGTACGCCTCGTTTTAGTTGGTCTGGAATCAGGGTTTCAGCCAACTCCTCCAGGTGAACTACCAGTGGTCCACCAACCCGGTTATAGCCCCGGATATCGGCTTTTCGTCCTCTCACTTTGGTGGGAGAATACCTCCGCTAACACGAGAAGTTACTGAGTAGGGCTCCTTCGGTAGAGGCTATTTGAGACGCTAGGTCGTGTGGGAGCATTTCGCGAGGTGCGAGGGCAGGGTGACCAGCCGCAATCCTAGACACCCACTCCCGACCATACTGAGGCACTTTGAGGCATAAATGAGAAGAGGGAAGAAGAATCAGTGCCAGGATGAAATTAAAGTACTCATGAAGACTAAGATTGCAAGGATATTGAGTGGATGCAAGAACGTCACTATTCACAACACAGTATCTCTCATCATCGACCTTACCGATTAAACGCTGAGTGATATCCCATGGGTAGAGTATACAAGAGACATTTCGTGCGATTTGGAATAAGAGGAAGTAGTGGGATTAGAAAGGTTTTCCAACTGGGGATACCTGACAATTTAGGGCAGGACAACAAACAGTAGCCGTATAATTATTACCATTGTATCGCCTATCGGAATTCACTCTTGTCAAACAAATCGTTTTGTCTGAGAACGAAATCATCCATCCATCTGTTTGTTCGTAGTTTAGTTTGCACTGGCTTAATCGTCCACCACTGCCACTAATAGACTCGAAAATTCTTGTCAGACTTTAGTTCTCAACAGTGCATTTTTTGCTGCATACACCCATATGTTCTGTTCACACACACACCCGCCCCCCCGTTGTGCATGACACGGGTTCCAGTTCGGATCGGTTGATGTCATTTCCGACAGATGTGTTTTCAGCCCAAGTTCCTTTGTTCTGATTGCACGAAATTGACCACCAATGAGCTAGTCTGGCTGCACATGCAACCATCTGAAAAAATTGAACACAATTTTGGGTTCGCTTGAGTGCATACCACTAGATTTGATCTCTGTATGTGTTGGCCATTCGAGCATCGTGATCAACATCTGGCCAAAACTTTATCGGAATTCCGTTTTCTGCAGGTGTCTTGTTTGTCTTCCCATCATCATAACGTTCGATTATGTGAGTCTGTAATGCCCATAATTGGTATATATATATATATATTCATTTTTTAGGTCATTCTAGGGATTCAGGTACGACTATAGCTGTATTGTTCTTGTGCATCTTTTTTTATCAAGCCTATTCTTTGCATTCCCTGTCTCAAATTACTCGTCTGTGTCATTCTCACTCCGCACCCCCGCTTATCCACGTCGCACAGGTCCTGCTCCCATAGATCCGGACCACTGGTCCACTGCGTCGGCAGCAGCCGCTCCGACGAACGAGGACACGAAAGAGTGTTGTATTTGCATGATCAATCCAATCAATTGTGCGTTTGTCCAATGTGGTCACATGGCCACGTGTTACGGTTGCGGTCAGGGTATGGAGAAGTGTCCGATTTGCAGACAGTCTGTGCAGTTCGTAATGCGCGTCTATCCGGTCTGAATAGTCTCGATGCAAGCCTATTGTCGCTGCCTTCCGGAGTTCCGATTTTACCAATCGCGCCACACACATCACATTGCATCACTCCTTCTCATTCTGTTCAGTCACTGACTCCTGGGTGTCTTCCGGCCAACATCACTGGGCAATGGTTATCTGTCTGCCTATTCCAACCAGACATGCATGTGATTGGACAAGTCATTCTTTATCATTCCCTTCTCAAACTTCATTGTTTCCTGCCTAGAATGACTGGGTTTTATATACAGATTTTTACCTGATCAAATTGCACTGTCTTCGTTATCGGAAAGACAATGCACTTCCGACAGGGGGGAACTGCCTGGCGATTTTTGGGTAATCTTTTCCCGTGGACGAATACAAAACGCTGCTTCCTCATTGATTTTCTAACATGCACATGTTCGACTCTCGGGTGATCAGACGTGTCTGTCTGTCTCTCCCTGCCTACAGAGCTTTGCTCTGGTGTGATCCGCCGATTTTGTTCGAACCTGCGTTATACATGAGTATTCTGTCATGAGTACATGAGGAGCGGTCGGTGAGTCTCAAAGCATTTGGCAATGAACAAGACATCCCGGAGCAAATCCATTGATTCAGTATTATAACAGCAAGAAATGCAAACAGACTGTTGAACACGCTGGCTACTATTGATCCAGAGTCTTTTAGGATACCGTGAACTGACGTTTTCAGATTTCCCGTCTTGTTCTATTCAATCCAATTTAAGCTCTCTCTCACTATCCATGTCGTTCTTGTTAAATGGAATACCTCAAATCGGTACTGAACTTATGGGTTTATAGCACAACTACTGTCAAATTCCATAATATAACATTAGAACACCAGTCCAAAGGTGAACAGTTGTTTTCGAATGATTCATACTCCTGTCTGTCAGTTCATGTAAGGGTTTATTTTTAGTGGGGACGGTTTCACCCTGGGTCGAAAGGTGATTCGGGATGAAGAATTGGGCGAGATGAGTCCTACAACAGATGGTCACGTGTCTGTGCTCGGGTGAGATCGATGTGTGTGTGTGTGTGACACTTCCTATACTCCCTCTGTCTCCGTGTCTTAACCGATGCGCATAGTGTTCCTTCTTCCGTTGGGATCGATCCCTCATCGTACGGTCAATTTACGTTGCATTACAAACGCACCTGAATAAGTAGATAACTACAGAAGGGGCCAGCATTGGGGGCTGTTTTAGATCATGAAACCACATGACGATGGAGTTGCATTGTAGGTTCGCTTCACTGCACACATCAGACGCCTGTTCAAGAGGTTGAATATCGAATCATCCTGAAAACGACGATACATGAGTGAATGGTTTCTTCCGACCCTCCTGAATTTGTCAGCCTAGTGGCCTCCCCTGAAAGTTTCGCACGATGAACCATCCAGAACGTTCGGAATTTTTGTCCGGGCAGATTTTGCGC